TTTTTATGTTAATTTTATTAATATAATATATTTATAATACATAATTCTTCAAACCTCTAAACAAAAAATTGTATAGATCTTTAATAAACATTAATAATATGCTTTGTATACATTTACACATATATATATCAATATTAATTTGTAATCCTATATACCTAATATTCTCTTGTAACATTTATCCAATACTAATATTCACAGTTCTTCAAACATACTTTTAAGATCAAAATAATACCTCAACTACTCATATTTTAATAGCTGCAATTAGCAAACTTCAATTTGGTTATCCAAGTACAGCTATGTCGATCACACATACATACACACATTTTATATGCCCATATATATCGGAGTACAGTCAATTCTGAATGGACCCAGTTATGAGGCAATTCCACATCCGCTGAGTGGTATGCAAATAAATTACCATTCACGGATCAGGTGTATTATGAGTTTTCATAACATTGTTTTTGCATTTTGGTTTGAATAATTTGAAATTTGAAATTACATAAATGTGTAAAAGCCAAGCGAGATTGGCAAATGTACTTCAAATAGTTATGAGCGGATTACTTTCACATAAATTTCAATAACTATAGAGAGATGTCAGATGGGGCACGTAGCATACAAATAAGCCAGATATTGGTATATGTATATGTGTATCTCTGATATATCTGTATTGAGAGGAATTTGCTGATTGGAATATAATCGAAAATAAAAAATTGACAAATTCGAATGGAATTCATGCATAAAAAGTGTAGGTAGACATGCCTGTGTGTGTGTGTGTGTGCGTGTGTGTGTACATCTCTTACATCGATTATGTAGTATGTGTATGCAGGCATAACGGTGCTGTAGGTAACTGTGGCTGGGACTACAGCCATGGCTGCAGTTGCCTGCATTCAGTTGCCTGCCACACCCCTCAAATATCCAACTCAAGTCGAAAGCCGACAACTCAGTGGAGCACGTTTGTCAAAATTGGCTTTGATGCCAGCGCGAGCACAAATACAAGCACAAACACACACACACACATAAACCCAAACAAAAACCCAACCAGATATCGAACGCACACACACACACAAATTATTATAAAATCAAAATCGAACTAAAATCTCGCACACACACACACATACTCTAATTTCCTGTATGGCAATACACACACACTCACACACACACACACACACATAAATACAGGGGCACATATATGTACAAAAAAAATTATAGCTAGATAAACACACACACACATATATATATATAGCTAAAAAAATATGCATCCGCTAATGTCTTTGGGACAACAATGCAAAGTAGGAAGTGTGTGAGTGTGAGAGCTAAAGAAGGTCCACAAAAAAAAAAAGAGTAAAAAAAGTCCGTGTGACACAAATATTTTTTAATTACTTGGGAACGTAAAGAAAGGTAATGGCAGAGAAAGAGAGAGAGGAAGAAAAAGAGGTACAGATTATATTTATGAATACGAAAGTGCAAGACTGAGTGATTGAAAAATTTCTTTCACAATTTGAGTGCATACCAAAAAGGGCAGCAGTTAAAATTCCAGCTCATATTGCTGCAAAAAGTAATTATTGAAATATATAAAAATAAAAAATTTGAAAAACTTTTAATATTATTATTATTA